TATTTAGGATCTCTGTTCAATCAACAATGAATAGATTAATATCTTTATACACTTTTAATAAAGGTCTGGCATGTACACTTGGTAGCACATATATAAACACCGGAAGATTCGAAACAGATTCAACATATGGGCCGCGGTCACAACTATATTTTCAGCAAGTGATGCTTTATCATGATCTAGATGAAAACAGAATTGTTTTGAATAAGCAGAAAAGAAAGTTTAATTTAAAAAAAAAAAAAAAAAAAAAAAGAAGTTAAATAGTGTGTTGGATCCACATCAGATATCAAACATCTTCTAGGTTGCTCACTTTTTACAACTACCGTTCCTAACCAGGTTACATCTATTACAATGATTCATGATCAGTAGTTAGTCACAGGAGACAGGTTCACTTTCTACATCGTTGGTCTGTGCTTTACTTATATTCTATATCACATAAGGTCAGGTACTGCTTGATATTCATACACCCCACATAGCACAAGAAAAGTGCAAAGATCCCCTTTAGCTCTCTAAACTCTTGCAGCTTACATACCAATTGTCTGGGGTAGAATTGGACACGTTAGGCCTTTTGATATTGGAGCAAGCCCTCCCCCAAACGAATATTAAGATTCCAAAAACACTCAGATAAAGACAAAAAAAAAAAAAAAGAAGAACAAGAAAAATAATCAACGCCACATGCCATCAACTATGCCATCAATAATATAAAGTATTTTACACCACTTGCACCTGAGTTGAATAGTGGAAAAGAGAAGGAGACTCTGTCAGTGCAAGAGAATGATTCATGTGACCACTTTGTCTTAATTACTCAGAACAAGCAGTTTGTTGCAGAATAAAGATATCAGCGTCCCTGGACAGAAAAAAAAATAGCTGCTGCGGTGGTGAGGATGATGAAGACTGCCAGAATAACGACCAAAATTCGGTTTTGGATGATCCTGGAAAAAAGCAGAAGAGATAAAAAAAAAAAAACAAAAAAAACAGTGAAAACAGTGGAAAATATATTGAATAATATAAAGAGGTACAACGATAAATATCATGGAGAAAAGGCACACGGCCACAAATTTAGGTTTTCCAACACCATTCTGCATATCCTGACTGTTTTCACCTCTTTCTGTTTCCAGTACTCTATATATCTCTTTATGAAGCTATTTAATTTGGGATTGAAGAAAGAATGAACCTTTCCTTAATTATGCATACAGATACACACATATTAGAATAACTGAAATGCATCATACTACTATTAACATTAACTTTCTAAAACAAATTACATTATCAGTCCTCAGTTGATGCAGTCCATGCAGGGTGCTCTGTAGTACTAAATACCATTACATTTTTAACACTATCCTAAAAGCTTTTTTTTTTTTTTTTTTTTTTTTTAATCTGAAAGGAAACTTTATTAATTTTCAAGGGATTTTATTATTAGGGTACAACATTTCAAGGAAACACATGTCAACGAGGTACTTACTTGTACTAAAATACCAAGGGAAAAGTATGAAAGATAGTTTTGAAGAAAAGGATGATACAAAGAAGCAAGTGTCAAACTGTGAAGCTTATGTAGTAAAAGCACCTCCTGTCTCTGTAGCATACCTTTACTTATGGTAACAGGCAAATGCTGCATTTACTATTTAGCATAAGAAAGCGGAAATTTGTGATAATACAAAGATACTAGAAGTCGTATCCTGATACCGTGTAATCATTTCTGGGAGAAATCCCTGCTTCTAAAATCAGACATCATATGGGTCCAGATTTGGCCTGAAATTAATAGGTCATTTAAAATGAATAAATCAATTAACAATGGAATTCAAGGTATTTTACAGAAGGATTCTGAACTGTAAGAACCCAGTGTTTGTTATTCCGTTCTCACAGAGGAGGAAGGATATTTTCATAGGCTCTCTGTGACACAGGAACTTTTGCAAGACATATTTGTATGTGAACCATATCATCAGAATTGGAGAGAGACAGCAAAAAACCAAACCCTAACCAACAACGGAAGAACCCCACGTTATTTTTGTTCTTATTTTGTTGTGGGTTGGTTTTTTTTTTTTTTTTTTTTTTCATGCTTCTGTAAAACAGAACAAAACAACAAAGCTTTTACCAACCAAATAATGGTAAAAGTAAAACCGCATCTTGTGAAACGTACTGAGTGCAAGACACAAACTTGAGGAGAAGAAATGTAATGTGCAAAAACTGGACATATTTCATGCAGTGAGAGGGGACAGAAACTAGAGAGCAGAGGGGAGTTTTCCTTAGAAAGTGTTTTTCATTGGGATGTGGGTGGATATACATATAAATTATATTGGAAAACGGAAGGAAAAATACAGTTTTAACCTACTCCAGCTCCCTCCGTGCTTACCCCCCCACCTAAAAAAAAGCAGCAAATGGATGGATGCAAACTGTCACATCAGACAGACACCCTCCCCTGTGACACTCTAAAAGGACTAGCTCTCTATCCTCCTGACAGGTTACAAAATGATCACATTTGCTGACACGTCTTCCGCAAAACTGCTTTAGTGTTTGTGTCCACTTTCCTAGCAGGAGATGAATGGGCTGCTTTGTCCTCATTTATCACTTAAAGCTGAACTCAGATCTGTCTCGTTTATTTTTCCCTTCCTCACTAGAAAGGCTCAACCACAGCATTAATTCTTTTGCGATGACAGCTAATTCAAACTTAACAGGCAATATTTACTCTGCCAAAAGGATGAGGAGGAGGGAGGGATGTTTCTCACTCTTAAGAAAGAAAAAAAAAAGAAAGAAAAAAAGGGGGGAAAAAAAAGTAGTGAGCTAACAAAATAAAGCTAATTAAGGGCTTTTGGTTCTTGCTGGTTTGCACTTCAGTTTAACACCTGAACTTACAAGCTTCCATTCTGTGGCGGGGTGTGACATTCTCTGCCAAACACCTGATAACAAACGATCCGCCCAGGCAAATGCATGAAAACCAGAACATATATTTACTCACTCACCCTCATCACTCCTGAAAAGATACTCAGCAAAACTGAAACTCAGCAGTGAAATAGATTAAAAGCATGAAAAGTTTTAAAACATTCAGCCTTAAGTAATACACAGTGCAGCTGGCTTGACAACCATTTTATTTGTGGGATGTGGGCCCCAAGGCATCCATAATGCTAATTTACAAAGGATTAACTGTGAGTGAAACTCGCTTAATCTAACACATAGTTAGGCAAAGGCATACATAACATACCAAGTGTTTAAATCAACTCCTATCTCTGGCCCACCGGAAGAGCATTTCATCACCTGAGATTTAAAATTACAGAAAAATTAGAAGGAAAAAAAAAAAGGTACCAAATCCTCCCAAAACTTTATTTTTAATACTCCATCAGTGCACACCCCATTGCAAGATTCTTTAATCGGTGTCCACGTTTCTAAAATCCTCATCAAGAGAGCATTGAGCAAGGCACGCTGCCACCTGTATCTGCTAATTGAAGGCTCACTTACAGCTAGAATCTAGGAAATACATATCAAAGTTCAATTTCTAGGAATCTGAATTAGTCTGCACACTGCAGCAAAAGAATATCATATTAAAAGGAACAAATTAATCATGAAATAGGATGGATGTTATCAACAGACTCCTACACTGAAGCATTATATACTTTTAATATTCAAGCCCACAGTTAAAGATTAATTTTATATCTTTTTTTTTTTTTTTTTTTAAGAATAACATTAAGTTTTACTGTCTCACTTTCCAGTGAGGAAGTAAGACTAAGCCAACTGCAAAGTGTTGGGAGGATGGGGCTCCAAGCGAAGCAACCAGCAGCACGATAGACCCTTGGAGGGGTGAGCAAGTGGGATGTCTGAGGCTGATGCTGGAAGCAGCCTGTTCAGGTGGAGGACACCAGTTCTGGGTGTCAGCAGATTTCCTATCTCTAAGTCAGTAGGCAAGAGCAGCCCTCTGGAGTAAAGAAAATATCAAGAGGAAATGGGGATTGGAGTGATAGATAGACTGCAGTCAAGCCAGCTCACAGAGGTAGAACAATGGTTGGCATTGGCAGGACCCATCTGTAGAGAAGCCTATAGTACTGTCACAGCCAGACACTGCCAGTGGGCATTGCTCTAGGCAAAGCAGCAAGGAATTTAAGTGGGGGAGGGAGTGATCATACCAAAGGGAAAGAAAATGGAGCCTAATACTCACTACAAAAAATCCCAAAGGCTAACATGCTCACAAGAAGCAGATGATATTCTTTTATCTCTACTACACCTTAAATTCAACAAAATCTGGTGAACGAGGAAGCCCAGTTTCTTCTTTGAAAATGCAAAGCATGTTTACAGGGTAAATAATTTAAGAAAGAATACACACTTGAAAGAAGACACCCATTGAAACATCCATGGCTAAAATGCCTGAAGGCAAAAACTTGTGCATTTGCATGCTGCATTTTATTAAGTTAGCACACTGTAGCTTTAAAAGAATGCATGGCCAAATTAAGAGGAATGTGTGACTGAAACATCAAGGATTCCTCAAGTTTACATTATGAATCATAGCACTGTTGATATGAGATGAATTAACCATTTAGTCGATGCAGCTTATGCACTGAATTCACACCAAGTTCTGCTGGAGCCCAGCGTGCTGGAGCTCGTTAACAGCCAATATCTGCTGCTCCTTTCATACTCAGGACTCCAAGAGCACAAGGACTCATTCTGCTTTTAGTTAGAAGAGATGAAAAATCTGCGCTTTTAAACCAAGCTTCATCTAGTTTATCATGGACAGCAGCCCAAAACGTTTGGGTGCAAAACCACATAGAAACAGTAACTAAAGCATATGCAAGGGTAGCATTAAGCGACACACGAAAAGAGCATGCTGGACTAACACCCTGGGATATCAGAGCAAAAAATGCATCCTGCTCCTGTTGAGTTTCTTCTGCTCCTCCTTTCTAAATGCCTGACCCGACTTCCTGGCTTCCCACCACTGGAGCTGCCTCTGGAGCTCATGCCAGCTGTGTTCTACAGCTGATCCACCACACGGGCTGCTTTCCTTCCTGGGAAGAGGGATCACCTGCTCTCACATACATAGAGACCACTGCTTTGGAGAACAAGTCCCACAGCCTTTTCCAAACACTGACATCCTCGGCAAATCACCCATACTCATTCCATGCCAGATGTTGTGCTGCCTTTCCACACTGTGAAAACCCAAATGATTCTCCCTTCTCTGTAGCTTCACACACACGCACACACCATGGCTCTAACTCTATTTGTGCACTGTTTAGATCTGTGCTTTATAAACACAAAGCAGTTTCCCAATAAGCTTTTGCAAACCTTACATTAAGGATGCCAACCGTGTTTAAACCTTTTTACAAACCTGCATTCATTAGCAGGGAAGTGCACGACATCTATATGGGTTCAGCCTGATGTCTTGCACATGTCTTAGTGCCTGATTGACCAGCACTGAATAATGATGCCTTGCCATTAAGCACTGATGGTACAATAACAATTGTCATGAAAATTAGCAATCACGGTAACATGTTAACTAAATACAGATATAAATGAACCAGAGCAGATGCTGGGTGCATCAAGAGATTCGTGTGCTTAACTTGAAATAATGAAGACTACAAATAAAATACTGCAAAAATGTCTTACAGAAGCTCAACTCTGACATTGATACAAATAAAAAAAATGCAAACGGCTTGGGGGATCAGTTAGCACACATTCATTACAACACAGCTCTTTATCCTTAAAGAAAACGTCTTGAAAAAGAGTGTCCTCAAGAACACAGACTGATTGATGACGGAGCACTGTCCAACACTGTTTCACTGTAATACATGTATTTAAGATTTAACTAGAAGTGATTCCTATGAGTTTATTGGACAGAAAAGCTTCTTCTTTGTATGCAAGAACACATTTTAGATGGTCACTTCAAATTACAATTCGGGTACCCTTTCATTTGTAATCTGCAGGTTTTGCTAACATGATAAAAAAAGAAAGGTGC